AGAGAGAGAGAGAGAGAGAGAGAGAGAGAGAGAGAGAGAGAGAGAGAGAGAGAGAGAGAGAGATGGGCAGATGGACGGACGGACGGACAGACAGACAGACAGACAGACAGACAGACAGACAGACAGACAGAGACGTGTGCATGTTTCATGTCACCAAGGGGAAAGAAGCCACTGCTCGAGAATGGTGCTCGATAAGTCGTAGGTATTGCCACATTTTCTAAAACTGCATATAGTGAAGGGCTCCTTTCCACCCGCCAATTCGCGGACCGGACACGAAACAGGCTAACGCCGCTATTAACGGATAATAGAGAACGTGCAACTGTAACAATGCACTGCAGTTACCAGCCTAACGTCCGCCAACTTCGGAGATCGCGATCGTTCAATCAAAACACAGAACCCCTACCTTCCTGGTCAAAAACCCCAACCGCGGACTTTACGATGCAATGGACCCCAAATGAGAAGGAAAAGACGGCAAAGAGCAAGCGAAAGACGACGGCCTTCTGGGTCTCCATCAGCAAAGGACAACTGGCGATTCCACTTGCGGCGAGCACGACGGACCGCTAGTGCATTCGCTTCAATCCAGGTTAGTTGAGCCATGCAAATAATGGTTTTCAATATTGCCAGAGCACTGGAGATATTTCTTCGGCTCCCAAGTTACATGAAGAAAACCTTATACACATCTTCAAGGTCAAGCTTTGGGATTACCAGCACCGGTTCATCACTTGGGATAGAGACACCTTCTCAAAGCATAACTGCATTTCACATAGCACCTGAGATCCGAGCAAAGCAGGCCGCGGTATCGTGTCATGGCAGACACCATCAATGGCAGGACATTGAGGACAAAGACAACATCACGGACAACTTGTCAGCTTCCGTACCCCAAGCAGAGCTTTCCATTGCAATCGCACGCATGCAACACCTTTTTAAACCATGAAACATCATTTTGTACTTATCCACCTGCTGTCCATGACACCACCGTCTTCACCCGAATAGAACGCCCGGTCATTATAGCTGTATTTGGCACAACTTCCAGCCCGGATACGGCGATAATAATTACCGATCGTTCTATCTGGGCGAAGACCGTGGTTGCCACTAATAGGTCTGGCCCTTAGCAGTCGCAGCTGTCTTCGCTCGTGACGACCCCCCATTGCGGAGGGGAAAAAAAGCCCACACTTCGTTTGAGTTTTCACTGGTGCGGCGAAAGCGAAAACGGTAGAGCAAGAAGAATATGGTCACAGACTGAGGACCTCACGGTTTCCCCGACGCAGGCGTACTTCAAGGCATCGCGGAGCACAACGATGGTGGTGGTCGTTCCAGCAAGGTGTCTTTTGTTTTGCTTTTGGCTGCGCGGAGGGAGGACCGGGCCGGGAGGAAAGGAGCAGGGGAAGGGGGGAGTAGAGTCGATTCACTACAGTTGTGCACTTGAATTCATGCACGATGATGAGGATGGCAATATGGCAATATCTGCAAGAATGGAGAAAGAACATGAGGGAGGGGCGAAAATGGCGAGGAGTCGTCAAGGGTGAAAGAGGGAAGCTGTGGCAACCCAGTCCTCTATGGAGGGACTGCAACACCGAGAAGGCGAATAATTATCATAATGACAACAATAACGGCGATATATAATGCCAGTCAGAGAAAAAATATGAGGCAAAGACCAGAATGTTTGATCACAAGGCACGAGGTTCATGCTGCCCCTGCAGTAATCGGAAGGCAGAACTCCGTGCTGTCCTGCGAATACTGTGCAGTCCTGTGGCTATAGGGTGTCAGTCAACGAGAGCAACATGCTAACAGCTAGAGAAAATGTGACAGCACTACAATGGGGCTGTTAAAGGGCAACCATACTGTCAACGGGTTGAAGGTCGAATCGGAACACGGGCGGGGATACTTAGCTGGCATGCGGACCCGAACCCAGGTAGATAAAATGTACGGTTGTTTTGCATCCTAGGTTTCAGAAGGTAGTAGCAGATAGGTTTATATTCTCGCTATTGGGGTTCTAGTAGTAGGAGCACAAGAGGGTTATATATTCGAGTTATTGGGGTTCTCTAGTAGTCCGAACTAGTCTTCAGAGCGGCTAGCCAACAGACCAACACGCCCACTCGGTGGTGCCGGTGTGCTTTCCGTTGCTGAATGCGCATCCCATAACCTTTGGAAGGCAAAACAAATGCAGCACTAACCTTACTCTGTGTAGTCTGAACTAGTCTTCAGAGTGGCTAGCCAACAGATCAGCACACCCGCTCGGTGGTGCCGGTGTGCTTTCTGTTGCTGAATGCGCATCGCACAACCTTTTGAAGGCAAAACAAAGACAGTGCTAACCTTACTCTGCGCCAAGAACTAGTATGTGTTATGCTCCACCTTCTTTCTCCCATCTCTCTGCGGCTGCTCAACACAGTTCACGCTGCCATTGTTCTCTTTCGTGCTCGTTTCTGGACCGTCTAGTGCTTTCATCCTCAGATTCCTACTTACTCCAGCTCGAGAATGGTGGTCTTAAGGCACTACTGGTAGTACCTTTGCCACTTCAGAAATGAGGGAAAACGCCAGCTCCCGAAGAATTCAGAGGCCGGGCCCGGCGACGGCAGCCATTGATACATCTAATCGGCGGCCATCGATTCGTTTCAGCCTCGTGAAAGGTCGGAGGCCCGCTATTTTCCGAACCGACAAAGGTATTCGCGGTTCAACAGACCCTTGCGCTACATGTCGGGGACTCTCTGATGCTGCGAAAGGCGGCCGCTGCTGCCAGTATCCCTCTTCCTGCTCTTTTCCATCACTCCTAATGTCTTTATCCTCCCATTACTACCTAGTACCTACTACAAGATGAACATCTTCCATTTGTTCATGCCATACTAGGTCCACTTGGAGCTTGTTCTCTAAGGGCCCCGATACCCTGGTCCTATACTAAGTGAACATCGGTGATTTGTTCATGTCACTCTAGTAATTCTTAAAAAAAAAAAAAAAAAAAAAAAAAAAAAAGGCAACCCCTACTCGTCTACTTGTTCTAAATGAGAATCAGCCATTTGTCCAAGGCGTGCTACTTCTCCTCATCCTCGTCCTCGTCCGAAAATAAAGCTCCGGCGTTGTAGACAAATATAGTGCCCGACGGACGTAGTATTCGTTTAGAACCCCCGGGCATTATATTCAGTAAATGGGTAGCAACTTGAGTACGGCCCCAAAATTCAAAAAAAAAAATCATAATATCCTGTTTAAAAAAAAAAAAAAAAGTCGCCTAGAATTGCAATGCAACCAACTTTTGGCCAAGCGTCACTTTCAGAATTCCTAATAAATTCGAAAATAAAAAACAAGGATTTCCTGCTAGAACATGGGAAGGTGCTTTTTTTTGTCCTTTAGGCCTAGTGAAAGGATTTCACGCCGCAGGCACCTGAGAGTCCAGCATTAAAGGTCCCAAATCCTGAAAAGGTTCCCAAGTCCCAAATCCTAGCATCCCAGTAGGATAGATCCGATGGGCAAGTTTGAGGCGTCGTGGGTCTGCGTCGGGGAAGCATCTGGATACGTCAAGTCGTTGCACAGTCCGTCCGGTACCCCACAGTCCAGAAGAGTCCAATCCAGCCCCAAGACCACACGATTGCAGCAAGTCCCAGGAAAGTCCGGAAGCCACCGGACTGATAAAATGATCGCAGCAGACAGGCTGTTTCTGAGCGGTATCGGTCCGAAGCAGGCCAAGCCACTACACGTTCTATATTTAGCTGCTACAGTGCAGCGGCTCATCAGTTGTTCATTTGTGAAGTTGCGGAAGCGCTGCAGCTGCTTGTGTGACCAAGCGACTGGGGCTATACAGCGCTCGCGGAAGAAGAGAGAGCCAACGGCAACCATAGCTAGGGTAGCCATAGCCGCCAAGGTCTGATTCTGAT